GTAAAATCCAAATCGGATGTATGTAAGCTAATAAATGTTCTTGTTAATCTTATCTCGTCTTTTGATTCGTTTACGGTTACAAAAATCACCACATAGAGTCTCTCAAGTCTCCATAGATATAACAAACACAGAAATAAATACCTACAATTTATTTTGTGTTATGTGTCGATTCTGCACGACACGTCTGAACATGTAAGCTGAACAATAGTATGGAGAGAGTGAGTAATCAAGAGTTGCATGGCGCTCAAACAAAAGACAAATCAACGAGATTTGAAAATTGCGTAATTCTGGGTTTGCGTAAGTCGGGGTAGCGTAAGTCGAGGTATTACTGTACTTCTATGTATGATATCATTATTGGCAAAATATGCGATTTGTGCAAAAACTGTGGGTGATACGATGTTTTGAGTATCATTTTTGAATTCAGGAAGTTGAAATACATAAAGAACGCCTACATTTTCGAGAAAAGTTTTTTCACTGTTGCATTGTGTAATTACAGATTATAAGTACTGTATATAAGCTCATTTCAAAATAATTTTCACTTAGAAAATTAATTAACTTTCTGAAACAGATTCTAAAGATTCACTGCAACATTCATTTTATATACTCAATGACAAAAAAGTTATGCACCGAGGTGTTGGGATCAAATGAAACTTTATTAGTGTAAATGTAATGATGATGGTAATAAGTGTTTATCATAGCAAAAACAGAATTTCTTGTGGAACAACAGTACAATTTAATTAAAGATCTTTAAGTCTGTTGCAAACAATTTGATGTGAGCAATTTGACATGAATACAATTTGACAAGTAGTTTTTAATAATAGTTAAAATTTTTATCTGCTGTTTGAATATATTATATAGCAGGAATGTGATAAAATAATCGATTTTATAATGTTTACGGAATACATAAAAATCCACAATTTTATCATTTGGATGTTTTTAAAATGTGTTATCCAAACTGGAAAAATTTCATTATAATGATAAACACACCTTGCTTACTTTTCTAGCAGATAGTTGTACACATTATAAAAAAAAAATTTTGGTTATTTTTAGTTTCTCTTGTATGAACTTGTTGTTTTGAATCTTTCAAATTGTCAGAGGAGATTCTGTTTTGGAATGCTTTGAAATTTCTTATATGTAGCAATGTTTTTAAACAGGAGTATAGCATCTGCCCAGACTGATATCTGAAAACTTAAAGTGTTAGTTTTAATAAAAAGTCTACATTCTTAATTAAAACTAACACCTTAAGTTCATTTTATTTTTACACAGACAGTTAGCTTTTCAAAGTATTTGCTTTGTTTTTTACATGTTATTAAACAATTAACACTAAATATTAGACAGTTTTATTTTTTGCATTTTTGTTTCCATTTAATAATAATTAAAAGTGTTTCATTTTATACTTTGTTTCAATAATAATTTTTTTCTAAATTTTTTTGACATTTTTCTTTCAAAAAATATATCAGCTTTTCAATGTACAGTACATTAGATGATTTGTTTCCAAGACCTTGTCCAATTAGATGTCTTTAAGAGCTTGAAATCTACAAAAGTTTTGCAAAATGATATAAATATGTTAATGGCAAGCATCTACAAAAATCTATATTTTAAAAATTCTTCAACATATTTCATTTTTTACAATTATCTTTTTGTATAATTTGTTTTTTTTTCACATGTTAGAATGTCATTGCTAATAAGCACATACAAATTCATTAATTTTTTTCTTGCTTGTCAGTCTTTTTCAATGGAGTGTTGTCTATATTTTTTAAAGATTTTTTTAAGCAGAGAAATAATGTTTATGAAAAAGTGTATAGTGACTAAACAAGAAGAATTGGTGATTCTACTTGGGATTACCCTCTTTAACTTTGAATGAAGTTTTACTGTATTTATATTTTCTTTGGCAAATTGAATTCTTATGTAGCAAATGGAATAATAATTTCAAAGTAAAAATATTATCTAACAATTTTAAATTATATTTTTATTCTATTTAATATATGAAAATTCAGTTCTACTGTTTACTGACAATCATATAATTATACATATTGAAAATATGTATATTGATGTGAATTTAGAATAAAACATTCAATTTTTATTTTCTTTTTGTAAGTTTTGGTATTTTCAACATGAAGACAGGTTTCTGTAAATATTATTCCAGTTACTTATTATTCTTTATGAGAAACATCATTAAATGTATTGTTAAAATCTGGTAACTTTTGTTACATTTAAATAATTTTTAATAATTTTAAATTACCAGTCGACCCCCCCTATAACACTGTTGATAATTCCGTTTTATACGAATTCCATGTTGTACGAGTCACTTAGATTTTACAAATACGTGTGTTGGGCTGTGAATGGCTCACGTATTTGTAAAATCTAAGTGACTTGTACAACATGGAATTCGTATAAAACGGAATTATCAACAGTGTTATAGGGGGGTCGACTGGTATGTAAAAAGAAAGCAATTTTTAGTATAAATGTTTATTATAAAAAGCTTTGAAATAATGGTTATTCTCTCAATATTCACTGGCGTGCAAAACTTAAGCAACGATGTAATTTTTAAGCAGACATCCATGAAATTGTAGAAAAAGGTTGTTTTGATCAGTACAATGAACACTCAATTCAGTAGAAAAGTGATTCACATGCAAATGTCAGGAAGAAGACATCACAGGTGACACAAGTATACATAAAATGCATGCAGTCAGCACATGCAGTGTAAGACTACAATAAAAAGAAGGATGAAAGGTGCTATTAAAGGCATTTGCTGCAAGTTCAAGTGAGTTTGTACATACAATATGGCTATAAGAAACTATCTGGATAACTTTACATTTGGTAGAATGATTCCCAGGTGATTGAGTGCAAAGGTACAGCAAAAAAACAATTGTTGCTTAAGTTTTGCACACCAGTGCATTAGTAGAACAATTATTGACATCTTGCTAAATATGACAGTGTTTATTGAATGATTATTTAAAATATGTTTGTTTTTTTCTGGAAAACACATGATGTTAAATTATACTGTGTATAGTAGGTGATCAGTTAACAAACAGTTTGGACTGCAAACAAATCAGACAACGAACACTTTCACAAAAGATTTTTATGTTCGGACAACAAACACACATTTGTAACTGGTTTATTTTGGTAGTATATGCCAAACCATATCTACATCAAAAAAGATGAGGAAAATATTCCTGGGCATAAAGCCATGAAAGATTAATTAATCAAATAAAAGATCAATTAACATTACTTTTGGGAGCTAATGCTAGTGGTGATATGAAGCTTATCCCACTTCTTGTCTATCATTCTGAGAACCCTAGAGCATTCAAAAAATTTCATGATTAAAGAAAGACTGCCAGTGATGTGGAGATTGAATAAAAGGGCATGAGGCTCTTTTCAAAGAATGGCTATTTTAAGTTTGTGCTCCAGGCATCAAGGATTACCTTCAGACCAATGAATTGCCATTGAAAGCACTGTTGCTATTGGATAATGTACCAGGACACCCAAAAGACCTTGAAGATAAATTGCTGGAAGATTTTCCCTGGCTGACAATTCAGTTTCTGCCTCTGAATACCATTTTGTTGATTCAGCCAATGGATCAGAAAGTTATTGCGGGTTTCAAGAAATTGTACATTTGTGCACTGTTTTATCAGTGTTTTGAAGCATGCCAGTTCCCCTCAACAATGACATTAAAAATGTTTTGGAAAGAAAAATTTGATATTTTTGAAGCTATCTAGCTCATTCAAAAGACATGGTCAGAAGTCACTCAATGACAGTTGAATTTTGCTTGGTGAAAGCTGTGTCCCTCCTGCATTCAGAGAGATAGATATAATGTCCCTGAAATTATGGATGAAACTGTGACAACTGCTAGAGATCTTGAACTGAAGGTGAATGAAGATGACGTTAAAGAACTCATAATGGAATTTGAAACTGATCTGATGACAGAAGAACTCTTGAAGGAAGAACATCGAGAAACTCAGCGAAATATGCTTTTTTTTCTGAAAAAGTGGACAACAAAAGGGGACCAAAGTCGACATCTGCCATTAAAAATCTTTTGAAGGTGGGATGATGTCAGAACAATGGTCTTAGAATGGCATGAAAACCAGATTGAAGTTAATAGGCTTGGGAATCTCTACAATGACAATGCTATTAATTACTTCCAAAAGATCCTGAAGAGAGAAAAGCAATCAACATTGGACAGATTCTTTAATGCCCAAAAATAGAAAAAAATGACTGTGTGTGTGTGTGTATGTATGTATGTATTATTATTATTATGTTTAGTGGGTTATATTTATTATTATGTTTAGTGGGTTATACTCAGTTGATACCGATGGCTGTATACTATGCCAGACCAGAGTGAAGGCATAGCAACAAAAACAAACTTGAATGGATTAAATATTTGAATTTATACTATAATTAATTAAAAATGATCTATAATAGTCAATAAACACAAATAAAAATCATAGCATGGCATCAACCAATTTCTACAAAACTTTCTACATATATTCAAGATACTTCCAGCAATGACATAGGCTACTAACCACTTACAAAATCATTTGATTTTATGTGCTTTGATAGTTATGTTATTGTTTACAAGAAAAAAATAGCATGAATAGGAAGTTTTATCCAGAGCTGGTTGGTTTGAAGTGAAATGTAAATTTTGAATATGATACATACAACATTAAGCAAAATGACATATAATGAAACCAGCTTTACTGTAGGCTAAATATAAATAAAATATAATTTGATTAATGTTCTAATTGGGATCATGTTGACAATATTCAGTATTTATTTCCTGCTTCACAGAATCAATTTCAGTTTATAAAGAAAATTTAACAATGATAAATGTCAATGATCAAAAATATTTTTTTCTCAACAATGTTGAGAAAAGACCTGTGGTATTTCAATTTTAATGAATTATACAATAAAGTATTGAAAAGAAAGCAATTTTTAGTATAAATGTTTATTATAAAAAGCTTTGAAATAATGGTTATTCTCTCAATNTGTTTTAGGATGAAATTTTTACTTCTGGCTATGCTTTATCATTTTATCTTGAATCAAACAAGTTTGACAAGAAAGCATATATTTTGGGTTCAGTAGCTCTTCAGGAAGAATTAAACAAAATGGGAATTTCATCTCTTCCTGTTGGGGTAAATGTTATATTTAAATATAAGATATTACAAATAATTCAATTTTTATACAAAAACTTTTATTTTATTAAATTTGAGAATAGACTACATTTTATATTTTCATTTTTTTTTTCTTTTTTTACTTTCTGCTGCACTGAAAGGGACTCTTAATCATGTGTGTTGTGTATTTGGCCAGGGTCACAATGAGGTAGCTGAGTGATGAGAGACATGCACAATGTATCCAGGACTGCCATAAAAAGTTTTGGGGTTGTTTACCTGCCCAGATTTGATCTCGGGTCCCCAGAATGGCACACCAATACCTTTATCACTTCAACCAGTCAATCATCATATTTTACATTGTTTTTCATATCAGTAATTGAAAATATCCTTTTTTTGTTTATTAAAATCTCTTAAAATTAGAGAATACTTTTAAAATTTTTAAACCGAAGATACACAGATCAATTAGTGAGTTTAAAAACCAAAAAAAAACTTGCCTAACTTCTACTTGATGAAATGCATTTCAAATATCATATTCTTTTATTGACATCCTTCTTCAGTCACATTTGTAATGCTCTTGTATTTCTTTGTGAAAGTCCAATTTTTTTCTATGCCTATGATCTTTTTTGTATAAAATTTGCCAGTAATCTTCTTGCATATCACCTTTATGATGAAATGAGAACAATATTAGTTATGAAAGATAAAGGTGATAAGCAAGAAGGTTACTGGCAAATTTTATACAAAAAAGATCATAGGCATAGAAGAAATTGGACTTTCACAAAGAAATACAAGAGCACTATAAATATGACTGAAGAAGGATATCAATAAAAGAATATGCATTTATAAAGTAGAAGTTAGTGAGACAAGTTTTTTTGGTTTTTAAAATGCAAAATGTACATGTAAAAATGTTAAAATGTAAAATGTACATAGATCGACAAAGGAAACGTATCAATAATTAAGCAACAGTATAGTCAAACAAAGTATTTTATTTTGCATATATGAACAGGTTCTTTTGGATTCCAACTACGCAGTAATTTATTACAATACGGTGTCGAACAATATTTTGGCAGACAGTTACAAAATGTTCTGTTCACAACAAGTATAAATGATGACTGAAACTATGACTAATACCTATGTGCTAACTTAAAGCTAGGGAAAGAAAGGAGATGATAGGGAATAGAGAATCTAGAAAAATAGAATACAGTAAGGAGTGAAATACCTGGGGTTTTTCTGGACTTCTCAATTTTGGGTGGGATACCACGTTGAACCTTTTTTTTGAAAAGTCTGTCATCATCATCTTCACAAAGTTTCTCCTTGGACCTAGTTACTACACCTTTTTTTATTGTAACTACGATAAACATCCAATTTTCTTTTTAAACTCTCTTGAATTCTCCAGTCATTGTTTTTTGCAACCTGGAGGACCACATTTGACGTCTGTTCACCTCAAGGTTTGAGCCAAAGAATGTCCTTCCCTTATCTCACTGGTCCCAGGGCCTCTTTTCTTTTATTGTTCTCCGTGGTTCCAAGAATCGGAATTAATATATACACTAATATGGCATACAGCCAGTTTAAAGATTTTAAAAGTATTCTTCTAATTTTAAGAGATTTTAATAAACAGAATAATATTAAAAATATTTCCTCAAAATTGATGAAACTTCATGGGTTAATTGTACAGAAATAACCACCGGTTTTTTGCCTGGACCGCATTTAATCAGAGACATAAGCTTTTATTCGTATTCTTTATTTATTTATTTACTATGCATTTCGGGTGCAATATTTTCGTGTAATTTGCACCCCTCTTCAGGTTTTTTACATTTCTATAAATTGGTAAATTCAATTATTACAACAGTAAATTACTACAATAGTTATTTGGATATATTTATACAATAGTTAACTAACCTGTTTTAAGTTTTAGATCGACATCTGCCCAGTGTTGATGTTATGTCCCCTAAGGCATTTTTAGACCGTTTCCCCCCCCTTTTTGTTTTCTATCCCATTAGCTCCTCTCATATATTTCTGTACAATTAACCCATGAAGTTTCATCAATTTTGAGGAAATATTTTTGAAAAATTGATTTTTTAAAAGGAATATAAAGAAAACCGCACCATGGATATATACATATCTATTACTTATAGCAAAATAATATTAAATAAAATTGCTGCAAGTTAGAAAAAAAATTTTTTTTTTTTAAATAGTAAAATTAATATTTTTAATTTTGTGAGTAAAACATTCAATTTTTATAAAAACTATCAGTTCTCTTTTTACACAGTAAAATTTAAATTAATAGACACATCAGAAAGAAAAGACACTAATATAAACAGACATTAAATAAGATAAAATTAACATAGAAACATTTCTTTATAGAACACTTCTTTTGAGTAAACAGACAACTTTTATAATGGACAATGGATACAATTATTGTGTGATGACTTTTGTTATGTTATTAATTTTATAGATATTCAAAAAATTCACATTAAAACCAAAGAACCTGAATATAGATGTATTTATTAATTAATCTAACTAATTATTAATTAACATTAGGTTATATTAATTGTCATTTTGAATTAAATTTAATAATTACTAAATAAAAATTAAATAAAATTAAATAAACACCCATACTGCTGTAAATAATCAGGCTATAATTTGGAAATAATGATTATGAATTACAAATGACTATGCCTCCCTCAAGTGCCAAATTCATTTGTAATTCATAATGGGGGCATGTCAGGACGTTGAAGCTGTGAGTGACTTTTTTTGTGAACTTTACATAAAGATAGTGAAGTGACAAATAATAGTCTGTTTGATTAATTTATTATTAAATAAGTGCAAACTAATATTATATACTTCTAGTTAAAGGAGGAAAGTAATATTTCAAAAAATAACATTATGCAAAGATCCCCAGTTAAGCGAGGAAGACCGCCACTTACAAGATCGAGAACAGAGAACAAACAAGATTATTCAGGTTCTTCAAGCTCAAAACTCATTACGGACTATGGAATACAGTTAAATAGTGATTTGCAAGAAGAAATAAGAGAGTCTAACCAGCAAAATTTATTGAGTTCAACAGGTGAGTCATCTAATATTAATTCAAATTCAGTTACAAATCTTGCAAGTCATTTTGACACTTCTACGGCACTCTTATGGTCTAAAATATCTGATTTAATAAAGGACTCTAATGATAAACTACTAGAACAAATGGTCTATATAAAAGAAGATATAGAAAACATACGTCAGGACATACGTGAGTCCAAGGAAAAACAGCTATACATGGAGAAGGAAATTAAAAATTTACAACAACAATTAGAACAACAAAAAAGTGAAAACGAACTAATGCAATTCAAAATAGATTCTTTAAATAATGATTATAATTATAAAAAAGTAATAGTATACAATTATCCTGTTGAAAAATCTATATCTACATCAGAAATATATGAGTTTATGACAAATGTACTTAATATTAATGACATATCCCAATCTGATATAATAGAAACAAATTTAATAACAAAGAAACCTAACATAGTAGTAAGAATAATATTTAATAATAAGCAAATCCGTGATAAATTCTTTTATACTTTTATTCAAAAGAAACAACTAAGAAATACATCAAATGAATGGAAAGACATGCAAATGGCACCAGAATTAACCAAAAACTCAAGATTAAGAAGGAAAAAGTTACTCCCAATTTTTTATGAATGGCGAAAACAAAAAGATCAAGTTAAACTTCGTAACGATATATTAATGATAAATCAAGAAAAAATAACATATAGTTTAAAATTGTGTAAATTGGTTTATGTAAACAACTTTCATCCTTATAGTGACCAAATAGATATGAACAGCTGATACCATGACAAACAAAAATATAATCATTATAATAGAATCATAAAAAATAATCAAATGGTTTCCATTGTAAACTGGAATGGTCAAGGAATAAAAAATAAAATGTCATCAATAGTTAAAATTTGCACTAAATACGAACCGGATATTTTAGCAATTACAGAAACTTGGATTACTTCAAATTTATATTATAATAAAAAATTTTTCAACGATTATATAATAGAAGCGATACAAGCACAGAAACCGATTGGTCCGGGTCGGCCTAGCGGAGGAGTATGCATCCTTATAAAAAAGAACTTTGGGAAAATAATTGATATAAAAAAATTCAATAATTATATGATAATTCTTATCTCACCACTGAAGACTATCTTAGAAGATAAAATTAATAAATTCATAACATTATTAATAGCATATATTCAGCCTGATGATTTAAATAATTTAAAAAATTGTTTCAAAGTATTAGAAAGCTGGATACATATTTCTCCACTCATCTTAATAATGGGAGATTTTAATGCAAGGATTGGTGAATTAACAGACTCAAAATATAAAGGAACCAATCAATGCATAACTAATAATCGTATTTCAAAAGATAAGCAAACTAATAGATTGGGAAAATATCTTATCGAGTTACTAAAGGAACACAGATTATTTTTACTGAATGGTAGAATGCAACAGGATATTCCTGCTGAACACACTTGTTTAACTAATATGGGTGCTTCGACAATAGATTTCACTATCTGTTCTGAACAACTTTTGGATTATTGTGTGGAATTTCGAATTACGAATCTTGATAGTTCAGACCACTTTCCTACAATAGCAAAATTTCGCTTGTTTCCTTCTGAGAATTTAAATAATATAGAAAATTACAACTTCAAGATAAAGTATAAACTGGATAAATATAGATCGGAAATTGATACTCGATTAAAAAATATGCCGGAAGTAACTAACTACAATTGTGAAGAAGTATATAAAACATTCATAAATACAATGAATGATTACATAATAATAAGCAAAAATAAAAAATATATGCAAAATAAAAATATAAAAATCTGGTATGATGGTGATTGTCACAAAGGAAAACTCCGAAAGCAACAAAAATTAAAAATGTATAGACAAAATCCTAATCATGAAAATTTAATTAATTATAAAAATTCCAAACGAACTTATAATAACTTAATTAATACAAAAAAGAAAAACTACCTTCGCAGAATTGAATTAAATCTGATTAATAATACTAATAATAGCAAAGTATTTTGGAATACTATCAAAAGATTTCGAACAAAAGATAATTTAGGAAGTAGTAACATTGGAATAAGTTTTGAAAACTGGAAAAAATTCTATCAAAAATTCATCATAAACAACATAAAAATTCCAACGGAAAGAAATTACTATAGTGATGAGTATTTAAATGCTGATATGACTATGAACGAATTGGAGGAAGTTATTCAAAAAACCAAGAACAATACTACCCCTGGAGACGATAATATACCATCTAAATTCTTAAAAATTCTATCAATAGAATCCAAAATAAAACTATTGAAACTATTTAATACAATGTACAAAACATTATCCTATCCTGAATCATGGAATTCAATAATAATGACGATGATATACAAAAAGGGAGACCAAATGTCTCCAGAAAATTATAGACCTATAGCTCTGTTATCTACACTCAGAAAATGTTTTACATCGATACTGGCAATAAAATTTCAACATTGGATCAAAACCTATGAGTTGGAAGCAGAATTTCAGTTTGCTTATACAAAAAATAAAGGCACCGAATCTGCAATATTTACCTTAATGATGATTATTCAAATATATTTAGTTAAAAAACATAGAAAAATATATGCCGCATTTATAGATATAACAAAGGCATTCGACTCAGTATATGTACCACTACTACAACAAAAACTTAAGGAAAATGGTGCAAGTTCCCAATTTATAGAAACAATATCATTACTATTTCAAAATTACAAAATAAAGATTAAGCAAAATAAGAATACTCTTCCACCAATAAGGCATTCACGTGGTGTACTTCAAGGAGACCCACTATCTCCATATCTATTTAATTTTTATCTGGCAGATATAGATTATCTTTTCTCTGAAGCAGATGATGGAGTAATCATAGGAAATAAAGCATTCCATTATATATTGTTTGCGGATGATCTGGTCGTGATAGCACCGACAAAAATCTCACTCCAAAGGAAAATAAACCAAATAAATTTGTATTTCAAGTCCAAATATTTAGCAATTAATCCAAGCAAAACTAAAATAATTATCTTTCGGAATAACAGTAAAATATCCATCAATGAAACAAAAATTTATCTCGAAAAAATTTTACTACAAACAGTGAATGAAATAAATTACCTAGGAGTTAATTTCGACTGGAATCTAACATTTAAATCGCATATATCTAAACTTAAAAATAAAGTTAAACAAGCAATAGATAACCTTCTATTTTTGTGCAGCAAATTAAAAACTTCAGATTTAAGAATACATATGAAACTTTACAGCTCGATTATTAATCCAATGTTATTTTACGCCAGTCCTATTTGGTGCTTGGACTATTTCTACCAACTCGAACAATTCCACATTTATTATCTACGCAGACTATTTCACATAGAAAGAACAGTACCGGGATATGCACTACGTCATGAAACTAATCGAATATGGTTATTCCCGTTTATATTAAAGCGAATTATCAAATTCTTCTACAAACTTAATTTCAAATGTGATAATAATTTAACTATTTTATACCATGAAAATATTAGACAAAGTAAACTACAAAAAAATAAACAACTATGGTATAACAAGCTGCAAACTATCTTCAATTCCTTTGGAGTATCAGTTCTATTATTTAAAGATAAAATTCAAGATTGGAAAACAGGTTATTCATTGATGTTAGAATCAGCTATAGCTCAATCTATAACAAAAGATCAGGACTCTCTTTATAGCAGTAAATATCACTCGTGGTACTTGGATATATTTGAAATACCTTCAATGCAATCATATATATGGCAATCGGTAAATTTGAACATAAAACGATTTATAATGCAACTTCGTCTAAACAAATATTCGCTGTATGTTAACAATACTTATATAAGTTTACTAACTAAATGTTTTTTATGTAATGCTGACGTTTTAACACCTTACCATTTGATATTAACATGTCCAAAGTTAAAGGAACTTCGTGAACATTATGATATAAATAGCACTTATAAATGCAACTCGCTAATAGAATTGTTAAAAAATTTTAACAATATGAGTAAAAAAGAATTATATAATATTTATAATTATTTTTGTAAAATAATAGAAACTTATAATAACAAAATAAATTAAATTAAAGAATATGTGAATATGTATGCGAGTAATAAGTGCAAATTAAACAATTAATGGAAAAATATTGTTTTAGTAAAGATAAATATGGACACATGAAACTACAACCCCTTGTAATAGGGAAGTAATTCCCATTAGACAATAAACTTTTTCTGATTCTGATTTGTAATTCATAATTATTATTTCCAAATGATAGCCTGATTATTTACGGCAATGTGGGTGTTTATTTGCTATGTATTGGGTTTCTGGTGGTGTTTATATTTGTATAAATAAAATTATTAAATTAAATTCAAAAATTATTGTACAGTAGTTATTAGTTAATGTTAGTATAAGATAACAATCTAACTGCCTACCTTTAGAAAAAAGTTATTTTATATTAATTATTAATAATTTCATAATGTATAGTCTGAATAATCTGGAAATTAATATGATTATTATAGAATATTTGGACTTGGTTGTTTATGTATATCTATAATGATTTGTTAATAGAAATGAAACAGAAAAAGCAACATTTTAATACTTGAAATGGCAACTTCTAAACTGCATACTATAATTATCAGGTAATTCTCTTGCTTTCAATGGTCATCCTGGAGGTAAAACTTTCATATAACCAGCCCTATAATAGGGCTGGTTATATGAAAGTTTTATTTTTGTTCTTGCAGTTTTTTACAGGATATATGCTTCTGCAGATTATATACACAAAATTACAGTAATATTGAAACAATAGTATTCTAATTGTAATCAAAGATATTGTTATCGGTATTAAGATGTCCCAAAACATATTAAAGATGTGTTTTTTTGTTGTAATCTATATATCCAGTTGATACAAAAAATATATGGATATTTTAAATGTTTGTAATTTATATAAAAAATATTTTATAATGGAGAGAGTTTTCTAATAATTTTTCTTTAATTAAAAGTATATTTTTTTCACTGTAGATTAAAAAAAGAATAATGTAATAAATTTTAAATTTTAGCCAGAACCTATGAGTAGTACTTGGACTGATTATATTGAAAATGTTACCTTGGATCCTGAGGTAATTTTATTGTTTTTTGATAAATTATTAGTTCTTTTACTTTTTTACATATTAAGAATAATGAGAAATGAATTATATTTATCAAGTTCAACTATATATATATATTTATATATTATATACACATAGTTATAATGAACACAGATATAATGAGTTTATGATTATAATGAGCAAATGCCATATGACAATTTTAATTTATACATATTTCCATACAAAATGTATGGAAATATGTATAAATTAAAATTGTTATATGGCAGTTATAAAAAGGATACTTCATGGATATACTGAGCAAATTTTAGTAGTTATACAAACATGCAAACATTCTTAATTGTTCAAGTAGTAAGAAATGTGATACCAAATTCTTGGAAGAGATAAAACTGAAAGGGTTACTTAGTTTTATGACCACTGGATAGTTAGTTTTATGACCTATTAAAGACCTATTTATCACGTAAATTTCTTTTTGCAGACCACCCTACTCTTTCTTGCCTAACTTCCAGCACTACTATGCTGGAATTTACGTAATCATCACTACAATTGTAAAATTACCATATACTTTATTTAGAAACAAACCTTTATTTGAGAAAGATGTCTCTGAAGAAAAGAAAATGTCTCTATTTATGAATAAGTAGAAATTATTTGCAAGTTAGAATGTGGTGCTGAAAAAAATCCAAGTGTGTAGAAAGTTTTTTTGTCATCTTTGACAGCATGAACATTATCAAAAATAAAGCAATCATCAGTTTTAAGATTTGTAAGATGAAATGACTAACTGAAATTGGGCATATTATTAATTAGTATCATTTTTAATCACAAAAAAATAAATTGTTAAATATTAATTATATTGTAGTTTATATAACTATTAATAAAAATACAGTAAAATGTAATTACATATATTTTTTTTTAATCAACTTATTTAGAATTAAAAATTAAAAGATAGATTTCACTAATTATCAGTGGCTTTGCTACAAATTTTGCTGCCATTGGGCACCCCTATGTGTTTGCACCTGAAGCAGCTGCCCATTTTCCCCCTAGTTATGTCACTGCTCTTCACGGATATAATGAATAATGGTTATAGCAAAGAAATCTTGCTNACACCTTACCATTTGATATTAACATGTCCAAAGTTAAAGGAACTTCGTGAACATTATGATATAAATAGCACTTATAAATGCAACTCGCTAATAGAATTGTTAAAAAATTTTAACAATATGAGTAAAAAAGAATTATATAATATTTATAATTATTTTTGTAAAATAATAGAAACTTATAATAACAAAATAAATTAAATTAAAGAATATGTGAATATGTATGCGAGTAATAAGTGCAAATTAAACAATTAATGGAAAAATATTGTTTTAGTAAAGATAAATATGGACACATGAAACTACAACCCCTTGTAATAGGGAAGTAATTCCCATTAGACAATAAACTTTTTCTGATTCTGATTTGTAATTCATAATTATTATTTCCAAATGATAGCCTGATTATTTACGGCAATGTGGGTGTTTATTTGCTATGTATTGGGTTTCTGGTGGTGTTTATATTTGTATAAATAAAATTATTAAATTAAATTCAAAAATTATTGTACAGTAGTTATTAGTTAATGTTAGTATAAGATAACAATCTAACTGCCTACCTTTAGAAAAAAGTTATTTTATATTAATTATTAATAATTTCATAATGTATAGTCTGAATAATCTGGAAATTAATATGATTATTATAGAATATTTGGACTTGGTTGTTTATGTATATCTATAATGATTTGTTAATAGAAATGAAACAGAAAAAGCAACATTTTAATACTTGAAATGGCAACTTCTAAACTGCATACTATAATTATCAGGTAATTCTCTTGCTTTCAATGGTCATCCTGGAGGTAAAACTTTCATATAACCAGCCCTATAATAGGGCTGGTTATATGAAAGTTTTATTTTTGTTCTTGCAGTTTTTTACAGGATATATGCTTCTGCAGATTATATACACAAAATTACAGTAATATTGAAACAATAGTATTCTAATTGTAATCAAAGATATTGTTATCGGTATTAAGATGTCCCAAAACATATTAAAGATGTGTTTTTTTGTTGTAATCTATATATCCAGTTGATACAAAAAATATATGGATATTTTAAATGTTTGTAATTTATATAAAAAATATTTTATAATGGAGAGAGTTTTCTAATAATTTTTCTTTAATTAAAAGTATATTTTTTTCACTGTAGATTAAAAAAAGAATAATGTAATAAATTTTAAATTTTAGCCAGAACCTATGAGTAGTACTTGGACTGATTATATTGAAAATGTTACCTTGGATCCTGAGGTAATTTTATTGTTTTTTGATAAATTATTAGTTCTTTTACTTTTTTACATATTAAGAATAATGAGAAATGAATTATATTTATCAAGTTCAACTATATATATATATTTATATATTATATACACATAGTTATAATGAACACAGATATAATGAGTTTATGATTATAATGAGCAAATGCCATATGACAATTTTAATTTATACATATTTCCATACAAAATGTATGGAAATATGTATAAATTAAAATTGTTATATGGCAGTTATAAAAAGGATACTTCATGGATATACTGAGCAAATTTTAGTAGTTATACAAACATGCAA